CTATACACATATATACACACCCTATATATACACACTATACATATATACCCTATATATATACACATATACACGATATATATATATATATATACACACATACACTATATATATACACACACTATACATATATACCATAGGAGATATATATATATATATATATATATACACACACACACACACACACACACACATATATATATATATAATATACATTATATATATATAATATATATATCTCCTATGGTGTGTGTATGTATGTGTGTATGTATATATATCTCCTATGGTATATACGTATAGTGTGTGTATATATAGTGTGTGTGTGTGTATATATATATATGGTATATATGTATAGTGTGTGTGTGTGTATATATATATATATAGGGTGTATATGTGTATATATGTATAGTGTGTATATATATGTGTATAGGGTATATATATATGTGTATAGGGTATATATGTATTGTGTGTGTGTGTGTGTGTATATATGTATATATGTATGTATATATATATATAGTAATCCTATATATATGGAGGCAAGGGAAACAACTATCAAGTTCTTCTCCCTGTCTAATATATATATATATATATATATATGGGATTACTCTAACCCAAGAGCAACATCTTGCACTTTACTGTGTTGAAGGTCCCTCTGGATGGTGTCCCTTTCTTCTATCGTGTCAACCACACCACTTAGCTTGGTGTCATGAGCAAACTTGCTGAGCACCCAAGACAGACCCCTGGGGACACCACTTCTCACTGGCCTCGACCTGGACTTAGAGCCATTCGCCACAACCCTCTGTTTCTGGCTTTCCAACCAATTCCTTATCCACTGAGTAGTCCACCTCTCAAATCTGTATCTCTCCAATTTAGAGATAAGGATGCAGTGGGAGACCATGTCAAAGGCCTTGCACAATTCCAGGTAGGTGACATCATCACCTTCCCTTTGTCCACTTATGTTATTACTCTATCATAGAAGGCCACTAGACTGGTCAGGAATAACCTTCCCCTGGTAAAGCCTTGCTGGCTGTCTTGGATCATCTGCTCATCCCTTCATGTGCCTTACCATGTCTTTTGGTGGATCTGTTCTACGATCTTCCCAGACATGAAGGTGAAGCTCACTGGCCTGTAGTTCCTCAGGTCCTCCTTCCTCCCTTTCTTGTAAATGAGAGTGACGTTTCCTTTTTTCCTAGGGGCTTTTCCTGACAGCCATGACTTTTCAAATATGATGTAGTGTGACCCAGCAACCACATCAGCCAGCTCCTTTAGGACCCTGGGATGCATGTCATCCAGCCCCATAGACTTGCAGACGTTCAGGTTCATGAGATGGTCTCGAACTTGCTCTGCCCTTACAATGGGGGGGATTTACCCAGTTCTCACCTAGAGGCCCAGGGATGCGAGCTTCAGCGATTTGAGGAAAAACAAGAATCCTGACTGCTAGTGAAGACAGAAGAAAGAAAACTCATTTAGACTCACTTCAGCCTTCTCCATATCTGTCGTAGTCAGGGTGAGGGTGTGAGTCTTCCATGTCACCCTTATTTGAGCAAAGAAAATCAGGGTTTGTTCAGGTTCTTTCTTTTTCCTTTTTTTTTTTTTTTGTGTGTTGAAAGTATCATCTCCACCCTTTGTCCTCTCCTGGTAATCTAATCTCTGTTTTTGTGTTGCAGTGAGAGACCAAAATGCTTTGTTGTTATCTGTTCTTAAAGCTGCTTATTATTATTATTTTGTTCATCGAAACATTGCCTAGCCATGTTGGCCCTTGGTCTAGAAGACAAAGGTGTGTATGTATGTGTTATTTTTCCAAAACAAGTATTCTTTCAGTCCATTATGTGGGTCATACAGTGTGTTTCCTCTCACTATGAAACTTCCCATGGAGGTGAAACTCCTGCTTTTACTGTGAGGGAGCCTGGAGACAGTGAGTCAGCCAGGCTCACTCCTTATTATCTTGTTCAAGTATCTGTGCTTGCCCAGGTCCCATTGGCCTCCTGAAAAACCACAGTAGTGGCTGGAGTTTAATGGAGCAACCAAGAAGTAGTTGTTTTAAGTGCAAACTGCTGGACTTTGTATGGGACTAAGTGGCTGAATTGTATGGCTACTGCGATGCAGATGGCAAATTCAAACGTTAGCAGTTTGACGTACTTAGGACAAAAAGTACTTCAGTGGAACATGGAATGTACCCCTTCTTCTGGCCTTTTGATAAACACAACTAACTTGAAAAATTCCCTGTACAAGAAAACAGCAAAGCAGTTCCTGGGTGTTAAGGAAAATACAGTCTAGCATTCTGGAATAGTTACTTAAAGCCAATACCTTATGACTCAGGACTGAATTCAATCACCAAATGTAATGCAAGAACTCTTTATAAGACACTTTATTTCTGCCTAAGATTCTTCCAGTGGAAACATCTTAAAATATTACCAGTGTTACATTTATTCTCTACTTCTGATTTGTTCTGAATCTGTATTAGCTGAACAGCTACAGAGCTGATGGACTCAATTCATGCACGCACACAAAGCCCATACCTTGAAGTGCAAGCTTTCATTTTGCTTGTTAGTGTGTGTCTGAGGTAGGAACAGGAGAAATAGTATCTTATTTCTTCTTTATTGTTTTCACTTGCTTAGTATTCAGATCCATCAGTGACCAGAGTGGGTAGTCTGTCACCAAACTCCTTCATTTCACTTCTGTGAAACCCATCACACAAATGGGAGATGTTTTCCTTCCATGACAATGGTGCAAATGTTTCTCTGCCTTGGTGGCTTCATCTCTTACCTGCTCCTTGGTAGGTGGATGCTGTGCACAAGTGTGATAAGAGTGGGGGGATAGGAGTACGTTCCATTTTATAGAGAAGGCATTGAGGTCCTGTAGGCACAGACTTGTTTCTTAAGAAACAGTCCAGAAAATCAACTTGCATCCTCTGCGGATGTCCAAATGCTTCTCTGGCCTCCCTGTGTCACAGAAGGGATGTGGGTTCCCCTTTTTCTGTCCCTGCATCTCCCTGTCACCGGAGGTGCATCTAGGGTTACAGCTGCAGTAGGCCTGCTCCCCGCTTGTGGAGCCTTGGTGCTCTTGCTTTGTCAGTCTGAATGCCAAGGATATGCTTCACTATAAACAAAACCTGGTCTGAGGCAAGTTATATTATTATGTGTACTAGTCTATGGGGCTGGGTGACATTGATCCCAGCGTCCTGAAGGGACTGGCTGATGTGGTTGTCAAACTGCTCTCCATCATTTTTGAAAATTCGTGGCTGTTAGTTGAAGTCCCTGGTGACTGGGAAAAGGGAAACATCACTTCGATTTTTAAGAAAGGGACAAAGGAAGACCTGGGAAACCACAGGCTAGTGAGCCTCACCCCAGTGCCCACATTCTTATCTCTAAATTGGAGGGTATTTGGTGGGTAAGGAAGTGGTTGGAAGGTCACAACCAGAGAGTTGTGGTAATCAGTCCTATGTCCAGGTGGAGGCCAGTGATGAGTGATGCCTCCAGAGGACCATCTTGGAACAGGTGCTTTTCAACATCTTTATCACTGATATAGACAGTGGGATCTAGTGTGCCCTTGGCAAGTTTGCTGATGACATCAAGCTGAGTGGTGCAGTTGGCATGGCAGAAGGAAGGGATGCTAAACAGTGGGACCCTGATTTAACTTAAAATGTGGGACCACATGAACCTAATGAGACTCAACAAAGCACAGTGCAAGGTTTTACTTGGGTTGGGGTAATCCCAAGAAGAAAGCATTGAGAGTATTCCTATAGGGAAGGGCTTAGGGGTCCTGGTAGATGAAAAACTTAACATGAGCCAGCAGTGTGTGCTTGCAGTCCAGAAGGCCAACGGTATCCTGGGCTGCATCAGAAGGCGGAGGGGGGTGGGAAGGGATTGTCCCTCTCTGCTCTTGAGGTTCCATCTGGATCCAGGTCTGGAGTCCCGAACACAGGAAATAGGTCGAAGTGTTGGAGAGGATCCAGAGGAGTGCTGTGAAGAAGATCAGAGGGCTGGAGTACCTCTTATATGAAGATAGGCTGAGGGAGCTGGGCTTGTTCAGTCTGGAGAAGAGAAGGCTCTGAGCAGACCTCATTGCAGGAGGGAGGAGACTGGCATTTTGCACAGTCTGACAGGACAAGGGGAGGAGGATGGTTCCAAACTAAAATGGGGGATTTTGGTTAGATGTTAAGAGGAAAATTCTTCATCCAGAGGGTGGTGAAGCACTGACAGTGCTGCCCGGAGAAGCTGTGGTGCCCCATCCCTGGAGGCACTCCAGGCTAGTTTGGATGGGACCATGGGCAGCCTGAGCTGGTGGGGGGCAGCCCTACCCGTGGCTGGGGATTGGGAATGGGTGGGCTTTAGGGTTTCTTTCAATCCAAACCATTCTGTAATTTCATGATTCTATACCAGTAGAAGTATTTTCCATTGGTATGTGTGACTAAGCTGGAAGAGTGGTACCAGAAGCTATGACAGCTAAAGTTCTTAGCTTTTTCATTACTTTTATTTTTAAACTTTAGTAAGTCCTGTAACATGCTCCCAGCTGGGCAGCACTGTGCAGAGCTGGTGCAGTACAGGCTGAATGCTGGCTATGGCAGCCAGTGGTGCTGCAGGAATCATGCTGGAGAGCTGTGAATAGATTGGGTCAGAGTGTCAGGCTGACTTGAGGCCAAGATGAGAGTGGGAGTTGTGGGCTGGGGCCATAGAGTGCAATACAGCCATACCAGCAGGGGCTTGCATGAGGCTCTGCCTTGAAAATGTTTATGCTGTAGCAGACTATGAGGTACTGCGTGGATGCTTTCCAAAGCGTGGGATAGGAAGACGTGGAGAGGCTATATTATCATTTTCCTGACTGTTGCAGGTGCAAAGAATTTGGTAACAATATTTGCTCTGAAGCCAAATTGCTCTCAGACTCCCTTCTATGTTTATTCAGTTGAAGAGAATTACCCAGCTTTCTGCTTCTCAACAATTGCAGGGTAAGAATTCCCAGACAGAGTATTTTTCTTTTTTTTATTCCCTTCTGAAACATGTGTCTAGACAAGTAGTAGGCAAACCTTAAACTCTTTGGTTGCATATTTGAAAGGTACCTGATTGTTTCCTCTTTGCATCTATTGACCTGAGTGTATTCAGCCTGCCTTGGTTCCTGGTAATTGGGCTGAGAGCCACTGGAGAGCAACTTTTTTTTGTAAGCTTTTCATCTGCTCCTGGTTTGAAGGAGTTCAGGGATCTCCAAACCAAGGGCTTCTGCAAATGCTTTGCTTTTTGGATTTCTGATTCCATCTCAAACCAAGAAGTACAAGGAGGCATCATACTTACTGTTTTATTGTTGTTGTTTGTTTGTTTTTTTTTAAATAATTACAATGATAGTAACATATACAGACTTCATTTCCAAAGCTTAATATAACAGAAAAATGTTATTTATTCAAGTTGAAAATGTAGAGAAGTGACTTGATTTAAAAACAGTTCAATGAAAGGAAAATTGTTTGAATCCGTTTTTCAAGCTCTTAAAGAAGAGGAGTTTAATGGCAGTAGCACACTGCCTGCGGTGTGTAGCACTGCTGATAGAGTCCTGGAAAAGGAGTTTCAAAGGGTATTGTGCCATTATGGACCATGGTCCTGGCTTTTTGGGCTGTTTGCTGATCTGAAGGAACGCAGTTAGTCTAATCCATTTGATTTCAGGAACATTTCATGTGGATGCAGAAGTCTATTACAGTGTTGATGGCAGCCCTTTCAGTACCTGGGTCACTAAATATTTTCCTGTTCTAAAATAATGACAGATGCAGGGCTGTTTACTGGAAACAATTACAAAAAAATAATAATAAAGCAATGAAGAGCCTCTTAAATTATCTGATAGTAAAATGGATTAACTATTTGACCAAGCAGAGATGTTCTACTCTAGAAGCAGTGAAATATCCACAGTTAATTACAGGCTGTTCCATTTGTACTACATCCACACTTTTAAAAACAGTTTTGGATTTGGCTGGGACATTCTGTAAGTCACTGCAAGAAAGTGCTCCACCTCACTGGGTCATTTCTTGCAAGTTTTAGGCAGCGTCAGGTGCTCTTGTTCTGAGATAAGAAGATGATAGGAGCAATCTGGTTCAAAATCCCCAGCTTTGGTGTGGCTCCAGTCTCCCAGCCATCCCACTGGCTTGGAGCTGGCACACAGGAAAGTCTTAAGTTGGGCGTTGTGGCCCCTCTCAATTTGAAAGTGGAGGTTCATTCCTTTAAATTAGGTAAGAATAGTGAAAAACTGTGATTCCTGCTATCCAGAAGTTCATTTTGTTCTCTCTCTTTTTTTTTCCAGTTAGCACTCTATAAAAAATCACTGCAAAACTTGACTCTTCTTTCTGGAGTCAGTAACCAGGCAGTGTAATTCAAAGGAGAGAGCTGGGTTGGGAGAGGAAGAAAACTGCAAACCTCCAGCCCTGCTGCAACCAACTCCTTACTGCTAAAGGCTGAGTGAGGGGAAGGACAATATTCAGCTCCATGGTAACAGTGGAAGATTATAATTTCCATTCCATTCAAATTTTAAAATGAAAAATATTTATTTGGTTTGATAAATTCCCCAAGTCCTCTCCATCCCTGTTTCTATTTTAATGCAAAAATAGAAACACTCTAGTTCCTATCTTGTTTCCATGTTGGCAGAAGCAGCTGTCTTGGTTGGTAGTGTTACAATATGTTTGACTGTGATGTAGCTCCATTTGTCTTTAGTTTACTACTTGTTTCTTTCTCCCCAAGTGCACTGAATACTGAGAACTGGTTCTGCAGCTGGTGTCAGCTGGCAAAGTCTGGCTCTTCTAGAGAAGGGGGCCCAGACCCATAGCTCATGCAGATCACCGCAGAGCTGGGTATTGTTACTAAGAAAACATTTGGTAATGAGCTATGCACTTAAAGCAGCTTGGGGAGGAAGAAGACTTGGGTGTACTCTAATCACAGGGTGACTTTGAGCCACAACTATGCTGTAGCCATGAAAAGGGAAATGCAGTCTTAGGGGACAAATCAGACAGGGACAGTGCACCAGGCACAGATGAGAGTTCAGCTTCGATGTTGTGCACGTTTTTGCTCACTAAGAAACAAAATAAGTGAGCTGATGCAGGAGCAATAACAGAAACAGGTGGATAAGGACAGCAGGGCCTGCCAACAGAGGGGACACTGGGAGAGGTTAGCTGAGAAAGGCAGTAACCAGAATTCCTGCCTATAAATATGTCATAGCTAAAAATTAAGGAAGAAAAGTTGAGAAGAGCTCTCTAGGCAAAGGGATGCGCTGGTACAAAAATGGTGATACAAACTGCTGTGGATGGACATAAGCTGGAATTAGAAAAAGGTTTGCTAAGTACTGGTGATTACGAAGTACTGGTGATACTGGTGATTACAAACACAATTTCCTTAAGGTGGAGCTTGCTAGAGGAGCTCATAGGGCAGTGTGAGGGAAATAGGCCAGAACTTACAGACGTAGCAGTCTCTCTGGTGCTGAAACCAGTGACTTGTGCCAAGAAGCCCCAATGTTGTATTGCAACTTTTCAGAGTAATGTGCCAAATTCTCATTATCTCTTTCATTTGAAGCCTCTGTTTGGGCCATCAGAGAAGCAGCATTTCTAGCAGCAAGCCAGCTAGGCTGACAGGTGAGTAGGTCTGATCATCAAGCAGAACTAATGATTGGTCATGTCTGCAGGAGTTTTGTGTGGTCTTCATAGAAAGATAGCTGTGTTCTAATGTTGGGAGTAGGGTGGTGGTGTTTTAGCTGACAGAGTTTGTGTTTTAGAAGAATAAGACCATACTAAACTTCTAGGTGTTTAGGAAACCTGAGGATACCTTACTGCTATGAATCTTTTCTCACACAGCCATAGGTTGGGAGAAGTATATTAGAAATTTTTTTATAAGGAAAAAAAAATAGACATTGTATATATTTAAAAAAAAAAAAAAAGTTTCTGCCTAAGAAATGAATGCTTGGATCAAAGTAATGCAGGTAAACACAAAGAAATTAAGGTATTTTGGGTAAATCAGAGGGGATGAGTTGCTATGTATGTTTGTCTACATTCCATTCTAATGTCCAGGTTAGCACAGGATGGCTCAGAAAGGGTATTCCTTAGAAAGGTGAAGGTGTGAAGGACATCTAAGTGCCTGGTGCTGTAAAGTTCTTTTTTTATGTGTAAATAGAAGCTGTGCACTCCTCAAAATGTGCTCCTGCTGGGCCTAATTTCACACAGGCTGTGTTTGATGGAGCAAGTGAGTGGGGACTGAAAGTGGACTGAAAGAAGAGGGAGGGGAAGTCAGAGATGTGCCCTGTGTAGCTATGGGGAGGCAGGTACCTGTGCAACTGCTAGGCCTCAGAGCTGTCCCTCTGGGTTAGCAGGTGGGTCACCCAGGCACTGCTTTAGCAAGGAGCAGGTGGATGTCCCATGCAAGGATAAGCAGCTGGCTGGCTGCACTGACCCCTGAGTAGCCATCTTCTGAGTATGCTGCTCCACACACAGCTGGTCAGCAGGGAGAAACTGGGTGATGTCAAGAATGAAGGGCTTCAGTCAGTAATCCTTAGCGAGGAGTGAGCATTTAAACAAAAGAGCCGCTGTGGAACCTACAGCCAAATGCTAGTTGTAAAAAGGACGTCACCTTACTCAAGACTGCAATGGCCACTTCAAGACTTCTGAATTTCCACCAAGTTTTAGAGGCTAAGTGCTAAAGAAGATAAAGAAGATAGTTGGAGGATTTCATCTGTCCCAAGAGTTTCCATAGGATGTAGGCCTTAAAATCTTCAGTACATGTTGCTTGGTTTCCTTCCCTCCTCCGATCATTGTCCTGTAACTGATAAAGGGAATATGGAGCAGCAGGATAGAAAACTGAGCTGGCCTGCCTGAGAGTCCTTTGCACATCCACTATTTCTCATCCCATTAGCACATATGTTCAAGCTTTCTTTGCAGCTGTACAGAAAAATAATGTCTCTGTGCACAAACAGTACATTGGTGTTACACAAAATAAAGGGATCCAACAGTTTCTACTGCAGTATAAGAATGCTGCTAGAGTTAATGGGAAGCCACCTCTTCCCCTCATGCCTCCCCTAAAATTAGTTATGTCTTAGCTTTCTGGCACAAGAGCAATAATATCAGTGTGTTCCCCCTCCCACCATGCTTTGCTGTGTTACAGGCAATGACACTGCTCAGAAGGAAACACTGCAGCTGTGAACTTTGCTTCATGTTAAACATGGTTGCTACACAGGAAAGTGTTACCTGAGCAATCTGAAATCACAATCACCATCCATATTATTTGTACGGACATAAAATAGCAGAGCAAAAAGAAAAATACCCAAGAAATCTGTGGTATAACTTCAAATGTGTGTATGAGGAGTTCCATGCTTCCCACTATCCTGTGTAGGTATTTTGTGATTCCCACTAATTATTAAACAGTATGTTTCTCTCCTTTTTTTTTTTTTTAATAAATGTTTCAACACATTTCTTTATGGCATGTTAGCTTGGCTAAAATTATGCACAGTCTTATCATGCTCCCATTTAATTTAATGCCACCATTCCCACTGATTCAGGATTAGGCTTTTGGCAAAGCAGCCCATGCTACGTGTAAAAATAGCCATCCCTGTAAATACAGTCTATCTAGGATGTAGACATATTTAACTTAATTATAAAGAAATAATATTTTTCCATTACCTGAATATATGCAGCTAGGTAGGAAAAGCTCTAAAATACAGAAGAGGGAATAAAAAAAAGAGTTAAAAATTTGCAGTTGCAATTAAGGTCAGTGTAGCACAATCATGGAGTTTCAGAAGAATGTTGCAGTTCTTCTTTGGAAACAGTTTTGGACCAAACATGCTGCTCTGAAGATCACCATTAGCTCCACTTCCAGTTGTGTTCTCTTTAAGTACCAGACTCCCACAGCTGTGATACAATTTTCCAGGAGTAAAATGGTGTGCAGAACAGCCCTGAAGGTGACAGCCAGAAGCACAGTGCCTTCCTGTGACAGGTCTTGCTGCACCAGGGGAGGGCTGTGTCACAGGGCAGTTGCACAGCTCTCAAGGATGAGGCACAAGTTTGGCCCTTCCTGCTAAGCCACTCAACTGACTGACAGAGGAGTGAGAATGATCCAGGACAACAGAAAAGCAGCAGTATTTTGTGAAACAAGGAAGTGGCTTGTTAACGTTAACTGGTTTCACACTGCTGTGAGAGTTGATTCTCCAGGAGAAATGCATCTATAATGGGGTACGGTAAGAGAAAAATCTCTCTTCAATTGATCTGCTCAAGCAGAGCAGGCCAAGTTCAGCTTCTCACAGATAAAACATACCAGCTATTTTAGGTACATATGACCACCTTTGCAGGTATAAAGGAAAACAAGTTCAGAGATAGGAGGGACTTAAATGTAAATGAAATGTAGGGAATTAAGTAGCAGAAGTCTTTTATTCCTACATCCAAAATCTTCCACTAAGCACTGCACTCAACTTGTACTCAGCTCATACTGAGCTTCACTTTTGTTAGTAAACTCAAAAATCAGTCTGCAGATTTTATTTGTTGGACTAAGTCTAAGGTGTTATTTTTGTTTAGAAAATATTGGTGATAGAGAGGGCTGTATTTCTTTGTGGAAAAAAAAAAAGTCCTGCCCATGATACATGTGTATGACATGCAGGGAGAAATTCTCCAGAATATGGAACTTTGCCCTGAGTTGCTCAGCTCACTGGCAGTAACATCCAGGGAGAGCCCATTTAGCCAGTGATGAAAACTATCTGCATCAAGACACCACAATAAGGGATGAGAAAAGAAAGCCCTTAAAAGATGTCGGTTTGGACAATGGTATAAAGCTCTATTCACAATTGTGGGAAGCTGTTGCTGGGTCCCCTCAATGCTTTGCACTAATACGTCTGCCTCACGTCTGTCTCCAAAAGAAGGGTTTTTGTGCTTACTTAGAACTGAGGTTGTTGAAATACTAATTTGTTAGCATTCAGACATATTCATAAATAGCCCAGTATGAAGGATGAATAGTGAGATGAGAAATTTTGCAGACGGTGCAAATTATTTAGCATTGTAAAACTAAATCCAGCCACAAAGCACTGCCACAAGAGTTCACAATACGGAGTGACTGGGCAATAAAATGTGTGCAGCGTCAACAAAAGCAGAGCACATGCAGAAACTCTAACTACACTTCAACATCAATGAGCCCTAAATATAACATCTATTAAAGGAAGTATAGAGTCCTCCATGAATATTAGTTAAAGCCCATCAGAAGAGGCTACTAAAATGTTGAAAATTACCCAGAAATGCAGCAGGAGCAAAATAAAAATCCACTACTATAGGAATCACCAATGAAACTGTCATGGTAATAGTGGGTTTTCTGGCCTCCAGAAGAGTTAGCTGAAAAGCACTCAAGATGAGGAGAGGTGGGAAACAGCTTCCATAAATACGAGAAATGAAGGAGATGAGTTTCCAGGGTGGAAAGGGATGATAAAAGCAGGAGATACATTCAACATTTGTTTGATCATGAATGACACATAGGAAAAGACAAATAGAAATTGTTTTCTGTGGCTTCTCATAAGAACTAGAGGGGACCCAACAAAACATTCACGTAAGAAGATTTAAACCAACACAAGGAAGTATTTTTTCCATGCAAAGCATAATTAAATTGTGGAACCCATTGCCACAGGATGTTGCGGAGGCCAGAAGTTATAAATGGCTTAAGAAAAGGATCAAAAAAATTCAAGGAGGATAGATCCATGGGTGGCTATTAAAACACACTGGTCTGGAGGCAGACTCTGCTTTGGGAAGTCCATAAACCACGGACTGCCTGGAGCAATAAGGGTACCAAGGCAAGGATCATGCCATGCCTCCTCTTTGAATTTCTTCCTTCACATCTCCTTCTGGCTACGCCAGGGAATAGGGCACTGCTTCACACAATTGTAAGGTGTGACACCAGTCAGGTCCTACCTCCCCTGGTTCTGTTTGGGGCATGTCTCCACTTACCTTCCCTTGAATTCAAGGAAAAAAAAAAAAAATCAAGCAGAAGAGGGGGAAGAAACAATCCCAGCCCTCCACATACTGCTACTAGGCAGCCTGGTAGTTGTTTTATTTTCTTTAGAATGGACCTCGTGTTGCAAGTGGCAGGAAGCCATGAACCACAAAAATAAAATAATTCTAACCCTAGTGCTAAGTAAGGAAAACAAAGATGGCTCAGCAATTAGCAGCATTATATATGTTGGTACTAAGTAACAACAGATGTCAGGACTTGAGCCCTTCTGCATTCCTTTCAATCCTTTGGAAACCAAAGCCTTTTGACGTTGCTATACATTATTACAGTTATTTTGGGTCTCAGAGAACAGCAAAAGCTCTTTGAATGTTGAAATACGTATGTTACTAGGATTGGCTGGGTCTTACCTGTGTCTATCTCACCATCCTGCATACTTCTGCTGACTTAACAGGCTAGTGTGTGCTGTAAAAGCCTGCTCTGTAAAGACATGCGCTGGCCATGAGTCATTAGCAAGCATGCGAAGCTAATTGGCAAAATACTCATAAAAGATTTTGAAGGTGGGTTAATTACAATTCATTACACTGTAAACTGTCCCCAGGCTATTGTTAAAAAATGCAGGAGTTTCAAGGTCCAGTATTTTATGATTCATTTTGCCATGCAGTGAAAAACAGACTCTATATCAAACTACATTCATTATAGTTAAGACCACAAAATCTTTATTGGTTTTCCCAACATTCCCTCCTTGTTATATGAATTCATATGGACTGCACATTTCTAACAATTGGCAAGAAAGCATGAAATAAGATTTATGATATTTTCTTACCTTATACTCAATGCAGCCTTAAAAACTGCCTGTTCCAATTGCTTCGCCTCCTCCCACCTTGATCCACTTGGGCTGATAGGACAAGAGCTGGAAAATAAACAGAGGTGAATGAGAATAACTTCCCCATGCTGAAGGTTTGGTTGTGTGATGAACCAGGTTGCTGCATGTCTGCACAGGAAATTCAGCTCCGCAAGAATACTGATAACAAAACTGTAATAAATAAGAATTTCCCCTTGTAGCATTGTAAGTAACAGTTTCAAATTCAGATGACACTTTTATACCAGATACTTCTATATCCAGGTGGATATAGAGTAATGAGATGGCTCTCATCACTGAGCACAGGACATATCACAGACCTGGGTTTCATTCTTGCCTCTACTTAGACAAAACTTGCAGACTTGTCCATCAGTTACATGAATCATACAACCCCAAATGCTTTGGAGGATGAGGACCTTAGTACACAAAGTTCTCAAGCTTATAACAGAACTAACTGTGCCTTTGTTTGTCTTCACTTATGCCTGGGATGTCAAATACTGATATTTTCCTCATGAAAGGTCAATGAGAAGGAGGCATTGCTGTTGAGTAGCTTGGCATAATTCTCAATACTGTTGTGTTAAGGAAAAATTAACAGAGACTCAGCTGCAACCTTTGAGGGAGTTAAGCCAAGTGCTGTGCATCAGTGCCACCTTTGTACCCTTCCCCATGGGTACTCCTTAGCTCCTGGCACCAGCTGGCACTTGGGCTCTCCTTTGAGCATTAAATGGTGCCATTCAGCTGGACTTTGCTTTAGCCCAATATGCTGAGCTACTTTCAGTTTTGCACAGACAGCAGACTTTCTCCTGTGTTGGCCCTGCCTGCATCTGACTGCACTGTGTCTTACTCAGCTTCTCTTTGTGATGCTGTAATGTTATAATGTGAAGGAAAGTACAGCAATAATAGCAAAGTGGCACAATCTTAGGCTGCAGCCAATAAGAACAAGCCCAAATGCAGCAGCCACAGACACAGAAACAAAGGAAGAAAAACTGCTTACCTTTAGGAGGCCTCCATAGGCAGGGATCTCCACTACCAACCCTTAAATGAGGTCTGGGAGGGGGTGGATCCAGCTCCCCTCCTTCCAGTAATTTAGGAGCATTGCATGCACCTGAGCTCCCCTGGGTTGGCCCTGCCTTCCTACCAGGTGCTCAATCACTGGTTCAGGCCATGAGTTAACATTTCCCCTGCACTTCACCCCCTCATGGTGTGAAGCGATGATTGAGCAGATTGAAGGTAAGCAATGCTTTGTACAATTTGCCCATCACAATATAGATGGACAAAATATAAGACAATTGATGACTGGTTCTTGATTGAGATTCACATTCCTTTGTGGTTCTCCTGGAGGCACCTAGTTGCTTGGACCAGAGAAGGTTTGGCTCGCATTCCATCAGTCTCATATAGTCCACAGGGTGTCATGCTGATCTTACAGTGACACTGGAGCATCTTGATGTCACGTTGCTCCTTCTAACGGTCCTGTGGACTTAAAGAGACTCAGAGGAAGTAGCATAGATGTTTTAGAGATACCAGAAAGAGTAGGTCAGCCCTTCACAGCAAGATATAGGCTACGTTCTTATCCTGGGTCAACATTTTGGCTTGCACTTGGGTATATCCAACCACCTGTACCACACCCTTTGGCCCAATATCTAAAGCAGCATAACTATATCAGGTATCAAAGTTGGGAGGGGGGACACATCTGCCATACGGACATGATTAAGGTTCCCTTTACAGTGCAAACCAGAGTGTTAACCATGATATCCACTGGCCACATACTGGGGAGACTACCAATCCGCCAGCTTCCAGTAGTCTCCCCCAAGGTACAAGTAGGCCACACCATTTTGGTACTACTTGCACCTTCAAAGGTGCACTCTATTTTATGGGAACCAGGTTCTAAATTTACAGAGAGCAGAAGATTATTTTCATTGCAATTTGGGGTCTTACCTGATTATCAGTGCCCAAAATTTGGATAAGAGCCATATTACCTGTAGCATCTTCAGGGCACTGGGTCTGCCGTCCCTGAGCCCTTCATTCAGGTCCCCTAAGCACAGCAGTAATAGTAGAGTGGCACAATCCTAGGCTACAGCAAATAAGAACAAGCCCAAATGCAGCAGCCACAGACACAAAGGAAAAAAAAACTACTTACCTTTGAAGGACACCCAGTAAGCAGAGATCTCCAGCAAGACCCTCTTACCTCCACTGCCAACCCTTAAATCAGGTCTGGGAAGGGGTGGATACTGGCTCCACTCCCTCCAGTCACTTAGGATCATTGCATGCACCTGAGCTCCCCTGGGTTGGCCCTGCCTTCCTACAGGTGCTCAATCACTGGTTCAGGCCACGAGTTCATATTTCTGCTACACTCTCTAAGACAATCACTGCTGGTGGTATTTCCAGCTCAGCTGAGCTAATTTGGAGTTTATATAGGTTCCAATAGGCTCTAAACATATTGTTATTACTAATACATAGTGTTGTGTTGATACAGTCTGCTCTATGTATGGATTCAACTCAGAGTTCAGACCCATGTGGTTCTGGGATGGTGCAGAACAGCCACCTGTGGAATTCAGAGCTGGATTAAAGCCAGCTATACGCAGAAGTGGTAAATGATGGAAGTAACTAAGGTCTACTTCTCTCCCTTAGGAAAACTGTTGATGATATGGATGGATTTTGTTGCTTCAGTTAATACGCTACTTCTGTAGTGTTCTGAGGTGATGGGTGAATGGAATACTGAAGAAAATTCTTACTCAAAATAATTCAGCTGCTGTTCTTAACTTTTTTCCTACTGAAAACTCTAAACCTTTCAATGAAACAGAACATTTCTGGATGCAAAATATTTTAATCCATTGAAGAACACCTTCTCCTTCACCAAAATTCATTTATGGAAAAAACCCTCACCAAGCCTACCAGCTAGATATTAGTCAAGTAGGAATATCAGTTAATTCTAGTAAAACTCAGCAATAAATTTACTGTAAAGAGCATTGTTTTTGTTTGCATTAATTTAGTGTAAAATGATAAATATTTTGGGTTGGCTCTTTTGTCTCAAGTTTTCTCAGAGAAACTGAATTTTCTTTATGTGATAGCATCAAAACTTCTATATGTGTTGGGACCAAGACACTATTTAGCTCAGTTTCTAACAGAAGTACTCAAGAAAGAGTAAAATTTAACCTGACCATTTATGATACTTCTACTGGCTGGCACACCAGCCTCCACAGCTGCTCCGTAACCTTCTACACTGACCCTCCTCTACTGCGGTGACCAGAAGCTAAGAACAGGAATGAAGCCTGGGAGATGGACTGTGCAATATGATACACAGTGGGAGCTTTTTCCCACCAGGCAATCCACTGTGTAGGATGTGCCTTTTGCTTCCCCTTCTGAAATGCTCACCCTACTGCTCTGGCAGGGACCCCCAGCCATTGTGCCAGGCACGGAGCAAAACCCAGAAGGAGTTTACAGCCCAGTGGCCAAAGCTCAGCAGGGTTTTCACAGCTGGTGGGCATTTGGAGTGAAGGGTTTGGATATCAGATTTCAATGACAGTGATATTTATGGATGCTCTGACTAATCTCTGTGCCTGGGACATAACAACTATATCCAAAAACACTGGCAAATACTTCTTTCGGGTTTTTTTTGTTAAGAATTGTAACTACTCCCATCTCACCTGGAACTAGTACATGAGCAAAGTTCATCATGACATTTCAGCAACGTCAGTGCTGTTATTGGACAGCCCTACCAGTGAGCAAAATGGAAACAAAGGAGGAAAAAACGAGTGATCAAAATTTTCCAAACTCTCACAAATACATGTTTCGAGCAGTGGAGAGATTTTGCAAGTGGCAGGTGTCAGTATTAAGTATTATATACTGAATTCCCCACTTTCCCTTCGGTGTCATTATAAATAGGGTTATTTGTTTTTAAAATAGGCATTTTTCATCACTTCTTCTTAGGGTCATGCCTCTGTAAGGCTCACAGATGCTGAATTTGGACAGTACCTTTTAACCATAATATATGAAGCTCCGAAATTTCAGAAGCTCCATTAAGAAGATCATGCAGAAAGTGGGATTTTTGCCATTGGTTTGATTGGCTCCAAGATTACATCCTTGCTGTTCTTTGGAAGTCATCTTCGATTTGGAAATCTTCTTCAAAAATGTTGTGATACATTGCTCTCTGAGGAGATTCCTGCTACTTCATCGTTTTGACGAGGCTGTAAATAACAAAAAAGCTATACTCATCAAGTGTTCCTCCAGTCCCCGCTGAAATCAGAATAGTCAGAAATGGGCAACAGCAAAATGTTAATCAAATTCCTTCAAATCTCAAAAGAAACGTTGAGTAGAGCTTCTCCGAGACTGCAGAAAACTGCCTGTGGAAAACTGTTAACATTTCTCTTTAACATATTGTGTCAACATTTGGTATCTATGAATCAGTTGGTGAAGTGGTTGGAAAAAACAGAAAAACATTTTTTTATGGATGTTGGGAATATATATCTGTGATGTAAATATAAAATACATGCATCTTGCTATCTCAAATATATACACTACCTATATACAAAGCTTTTCATTTGCCAACTCTGTATACAGAATTATTTACGTATATTTATGTACAAGAACACAAAAACTTTCAGCCAGCGCCAGTTATGCACCAGCCACTTTGAAGGCAGATTTGTTTGTTTGTTTAAGAAAACCTGTTCTGATGAATGACCTCACCTAGCTGTGGACTGGATGCCCTGTAAGAAATTCTGGATGGGCAGTGTGATGAAATATCATTGTGTAGGGGTTTTCAGATTTGTTATGATCCACTGGGGTACAGTCTTCCACTGCAGCAGATGCTGAGTCCCATTGCCACTGACCGTGTGCTAGAAAACAGGGAAAAGATGTCCAAGCATTTAGAGGGGAGCTTGGCCCCATTGCTGACTGGAAAAAAACCCACTGACTCTGACAAACTAGGAATTCACCCACAGTCCTTGGAAGATTTTTACAGAAGTGCAAATAATGTGCTGTGTAAATCCTATAATCAAAGCCTTCCTTATTGATTTTATTTACTTTTACATTGTGTATAATATGAAGATTGAGCTCTTTAAATTCCTGTGCTTATCTCAGGCCCCATGGAAGAACTATTTCATCTGTTTTTATTAAAGCTCATGGGTGCTCCTACGTCAAGGTTGGTGAAAGTACCTTGCTGAAAGCTTCTCATGCGGATTTTTTTCCTACAGTAATTCAAAGGGATAAGACATCTTACAACTGGCTTTTATAACCTTGCAAAAAAAAAGTCTGGCTCAAAAGCTGCTTTTTCTCTAGCAGAGAGCTGAGCTGCTAAGAGATCTGTAGCATTCCCCCTCAATGAGCCAAATCCTGCAGCTCAAAGCAGGGAAAAGAGTCGTAAATCCTTGCAGACAAGAGGCACCGCTAACTGAGAGCCCAGCCATTGCTTCTGGAGTCAAGCAACTCACCAGAAAAGTTGGCATTATCACCAGCTGTCATGAAGGCAACATGGAGCTCTACAATGAATTCAGATTCAGGTCCCTTGTATGACCTTGGACAAGGTGTGTGCAATCCTTTCATTCGCTTCCCCATCTAGAAGATGGTGCTAGTAACACTTGATTTGTTCATCATGTTTATTTAAGTTATAAACACCTCTAGGCAAAGGCAATCCCTTACAACGTGTCTATACAATGTCTAATAGAAGGTCCTTGTCTCAGCTCAAAATCTAGATACTACATGGAGGCAAAGAATAGTACCTGGCAGAGTGCAGACTTCAAACTAGAAATCTAACATCACATAGTTCTCATTCTTTCCTGCTTTTGGCACGTGGCCCTTTTCAGGATGACAAATCCCGAGGTCCCTCTGATGCTGATTCCCATTAAAGTTTACATTACACTCACTGGCAGTTTGTCTTAGAAATGTCCCAGGATTTCCCCTTTAGATTTTTAAAAGGCTATACAGTAAAAAAGATAGAGTGGACTATAGCAGGTCCTGGAGTTGCAGCTGTAACCAGAAGCTTTATGATGAAATTCAGGTAGAAGAACAAACAGGAGGAGGAAAAAAAAAATGAAAGGAAACGAGGGAATGCCATCAAAGTCTTTGAAAGACAAATTCATTTTACCTTTGTCAATGACTGTGGTTTTCAGGATAAAGATCAAAGCAATGACCGTGGGCAGAGCTATGACAAATGCCGAGATCAGTCTGTTAAACCCTAGCATTAGCGTTACAGTTAGACTGGTGTCTAGACTAGCAGTGGGTACTCATGCCAGGTTTGGCAAGCACAGCAGTGCAGTGCTTGCATCAGAGCTGTAACAAGAAAAATGAGGCATCCAAATTGCAGGGGGGAGGGAGCTATTGGACTCCAGCAGAGTGGAACTTGAAGAAAGGAAGTATGGAAAAATGAACAACAAAAACAACAACAGCAAAACAAAACAAAATAAAACAATCCACAGCCATATTATTGCCTGAGCCCAGGGAAAGACGGCTGAGAAGATGTAAACCCCATGCTGGTTTATTCTTTGTGATTAATGTACACAAAAAGCTTAGATAACTGGGGGAAAGTAATGCCAAATCCTTATCAATACAGATGAGCTGGCTTCATATTCCTCCATCTCTTTCATGTGGAAATGAGACTGCATTTGATGAGGCCAAGCCCACGTTTGAAATAGCTCAGCTGGGATGTGTGTGTGGTGAGGGTTCAGGTGCCTGCATGGAAAATTGATACAGCTGGATGGACTCAGATCCTCCAGTCTTCCTCTTTTTTGTGGAGAGGGCAGAGAGCTCTTGTTTGTGGGATGAAGACATGCTGAGGTCTGAGTGATGGACTGGACAAGGAAACATGTTGCTGGCTGATGAGGGACTAGGGCCCCTCATAAAATGTTTCTATGTTCCTCCAGACAATTCTTGCATGGACCTTTCATTGGCCCTTAAATATAACTCACTGCCACGTCCCACGTTAGCATGCTGGGGCCAGGCTCGCTCTCACACTGCCCAGTGTGGGGCTGCAGGCTCAGCCAGAGGAGAGGAGCAATGCATTGCTCTGCCTGCAGCCCATGCCTGGCCGTGCCTGGGGATTTCCTGGCCCGAGAGTGCCACGCAGGGTTGGTAGAGGGATAAACACCAGAAAAATCTGCTTGCTGCTGCCTTGGAGCTTCCACCTGCATGGCAAAGCTTGCACGCAGCTCCCATTACTGGAGGATCTGAAAACTCTGCAGATACTTCCAAACATCTACTTATCATCATAGTTACATTGGCTTCCACCAGTCATTAAGAGTTCAAAAGAAGCTGCAGACTAATGTGGGCAAATGCAATCTTCAGTGGGTGGAGACAGACAGGAGGGAGTATTTTCCGAAACCCAGCTGGTTTCAGCTGAGCTCATACAGGGTCTTACACCGTCCATCCGTTGTCTGAAGCACAGTGTAGTACTTGCTAGAAACAATTAGCTAAGACTTAGACTGGTCTTAGCTAATTGTGCTATTCTCAGCTCTGCTACTGACTCACCTGCACGGCCTCAGGCGAGTTGCTTGCATATTTGTGCCTTAGTTTACCCACTGTAATACCAGAGATAGTAACAGTCTCACGGAGCAGTGCAAGGATTAATTAACAAATATTGGGAAAGCAGTTTGTGTCTTGACGCCTTTGTGCCTTTGTTTACCCATCAGTAATGTCAGAGATAAAACTGTCTCATGAAGAGGTACAAGGATTAATTAATTATTTTAAAAGTAGTTTGAGATGCCTGGATGAAAGATTCTAAATGAGTAAAACATATCATTAAAAACATCTCCCAGTCCTCTGTGAAGTTAAAATAAAGCTGGAACTTCTTAGTCATTCAAATAATTAAACCATAAATATTGTTTATTTTAATCTCGCCTTTAACAAAATAATCTAATCTAGGCAGTGATACCAGCCAAAGAATAGAAAATTCAGGAGACCTATCAATTTGAAGAGCTTGATTCTTAATTGCTTTTTGATTTCTATCAATGGAAAGTGAGAGCAATTGTATTTACAAATGCCTGCGAAAGCACAGGGCAGCTGGGAGGACACACGAAGTTCTTCTCTAGGGTTTCAGCCTTACATATGCACGTCTATAACGCTGTCTACAATGCTTACAGTTCCTAATGCTATCCAAGCAGAGGACAAATGTTAAGTCCTCTCAGTCACTTCCACGAGGAACTGTTTTATCTAGGGGGATAAAATGTACGCAATTGGCTCTCTTTTAGTCTCTTTCTCCCTCTCTTGTTTTTGCACCTTTTCCTTTTACAAACTGCATATGGAAAGAAGTTGTTTGCAGAATCGAGGTCATAATTTTTAATTGAACGAATCCTCTTTTAAGGTGTAGCTACTGCTGGGAACCTACTAGCACAGCAACCTGCTGTACTGAGCACCCAAACCTCCACACCGCATGAGATTTTCTTTGGCTCAGAGAGACTCGTCTCAGCCTTTTTATGGCTTTCCACTTCTCTCTGCTTGCAGAAAATTTTGCAGCAATCTCTGCTGTGTGGGAATATAGGGAGGAAGAAAGGATGTTATTGCTTTCCTGAACTACAACACTTTCATTAGTTAAATATCTTGCTTTTTCATGCTAGTTCTCCTTCTACTGAATTTTCATCAGTCTGAAAGAGGTCTTTAGGGCCATTTGAAAGTAACCACCAGATAAAAGCAATTGTCATCCTCCCTATGTGGCAGGCAAGGAAGCAGACACAGGTAGACTGGTCACACAGGAAGGTGAGGAGGGACCTGATGACTCAGAGCTTTTGACTCGCAGCTGTCAGCTTTAGACGCCATTTCAGCCAACTATAAAAGCACATGGTTATCTCTGACCTCATGAATAATCCCACTGATTTAAGCCATAAACTTAAGCATCAGGGCCTTAACCACCTCACTGTGTTTGCCAAGAGTTGAGTGCAGGTCTGGATAGGCCCAAGTAATTGACATAGAGGAATAGTAACAGATGGTAGTTTCTCTGGTGCAGGTTTCCTGGTAGCTTTTCTGTCAAAGAAGGTCACTATGGATATGGATATGAATATGGATAAACAAGTGGTCTGGTCATTGAGATGAGGGCCCTTTGGGGATTGAAGTAGCTCCTGCAGAAATTGCCCTGCCTTAAGGAGAGCTGCTTAGATGAATGCTGTGCTGTTGACTTTGGTGGCGTTTCCCCAGTGAGAGATATCCTAATCATAGAATCATAGGATCACAGAATATCCTGAGTTGGAAGGGACCCATAAGACCACTGAGCCCAACTCCCAGCTCTGCACATTTCCACCCAAACTCGTTGTCTGAGAGCAGCGTCCACACGCTCCCTGAGTGCTCCAGCACTGGGTCCGTGCCCACTGCCCTGGGCAGCCAGTTCTGTGCCCACCACCCTCTGGGGCAGGCTCTGTCCCTAACCCCCAGTTGCCCTCCCCTGACACAGCTCCATGCCGTTCCCTCAGGCCCTGTTGCTGTCACAGAGAGCAGAGCTCAGTGCTGCCCTCCACTCCCTGTGAGGAGCTGCAGCCACCATGAGGCCTCCCCTCAGCTCCTCTGCTCTGTGCTGAGCAAACCCAGGGATCTCAGCACTCCTCATACACCTTGTCCTACAGCCCCTCTTCCATCTTTGCATTCCTCCTTTGAATGCTCTCTAATAGCTTTACATCCTTTATGCGCTGTGGCACCCAGACTGCATCCAGTGCTAGAGGTGAGGCTGTGCAGAGCAGAGGGGACAGCCCCTCCCCTCACTCGGTGAGCAGCGTTGGGCCTGGTGCTCCCCAGGTTGGCTCTCTTAGTGCCAGGGCACACTGCTGGCTCCCATACAACTTACTGTCAGCCAGAGCCCCCATCCCTTTCAGTGGGGCTGCTGTCCAGCATCTCACTGCCAGCCTGTATGCAGCCCCCAGCGCAGAATCCAGCACTGCTCTTGTGATGATGTAATAATCCCTGTCCACAGGTTTTTCTGGAGGAGAACCAGGGTCTCCTAGGACGGGAAACTGGAATCTGTAGATCCAGTGATAACAACTTTCCTGGCAGAGATTTACTGTGTGCTTGATCCCTTTTCTCTGCAGAATAAGGAAATGACCTGGATGTGGAGTCTCACCCACAAGTAGAGGCATTCCTCAAAACTCTGCAGCCCAGTTCAGGGTACTGTTTACTGCTCTACAACTGCCTTTGACCTTGCATTTGTAGCAAAGGCCTAAGAGGTCAAGGGAAGCCAAGATGGAATCTACTTTCCTGTTGTTGATGGGAAAGTGAGTGAAGCAATCTCAACTGTACATGATGTTGCCTACCAGATGGTCAAAGCCCCTCTTCCCTCTATTAAGCAAAGTAACAGTTTCACAAAGTAAAGGACATGAGAGATACCAGAGCATTTTGGAAACATTTCCCATATCTGACTGAAAGGTGTACTTTGCTTTTAGTTGGTGACATGGGATTTCAGCTGGATGCCTGTTGTTCAACCTTCTCCAGTGGTGAAAAGTGTCAACTCTGTTTATAGGATGGAGCAGAAAGATTTGTGAACCCACCTGGAATTGGAGCAGTAATTTATAGCTGCAGCGTTTGGATTTTGCAGACTGGGACAGGAAGTGATGATTTAAAAATGCAAGTTTAATAAACCTAGATAAAGCCTATTTTGCCACCTTCTGCTTCTCACTTATGAGAAGCTCTGAGGTTGGTCCTCAGTAGCTTCAGACACTGACACATTATCTCACAGTTAGAGTAATGGTGGGAGTGCAAGAGCTAGATGAACTAAACCCCATTGCCTAATATGCCCAAATATTCTTCCTGCTCTGTGTCCATCTGCTTCCTTATGACGTAATGAATGGTATGCTGACATGAAAACTGAAGAGGTGAACAGAAAACTACTCAATAGGGTTTAACTATGGCAGTTCAGATATTGTTGTCATGCTTCCTCCAGAAGCCTGAAGCTCAGTGTGTGCTGAAGCAGCACTGGACCAGACTTCTGGGGCTGAGGCATCGCAGGGAGCATCTCTGCACTCAGCCCTGGTGAGGCCGCAACTTGAGTGCTGTGTTCAGTTTTGATCCCCTCACTACAACAAAGATGCTGAGGCCCTGGAGAGTGTTCAGAGAGGGGCAATGAAGCTGTGAGGGGTCTGGAGCATAAGTCTTATGGGGAGTGGCTGAGGGAGCTGGGATGGTTCAGTCTGGAGAAGAGGAGGCTCAGGAGTGACCTTATTGCTCTCTACAGCTGCCTGAAAGGAGGTTGTGGTCAGGTGGGAGTTGGCTTCTTCTCCTAGGTAACAGTGATAGGATGAGAGGGAATGACCTCAAGTTGTGCCTGGGAGGTTCAGGTTGGACGTTAGGGAGTAATTCTTCTCCAAGAGAGTGGTCAGGTGCTGGAATGGGCTGCCCAAGGAGGTGGTGGAGTCACCATCTCTGGAGGTGTTCAAGGATGTTGTACTGGTTTAGTGGGAAATATCGGGGATAGGTGGACGGTTGAACTGGATGACCTTAGAGGTCTTTTCCAACCTTGTTGATTCTGTGATTCTCTTATCCCACACCAGCTGTCTGGAAGCCCCCTCAGACTTGAGCTTGCATCACAGACATACACATTTGAAGGATGGGGATGAGAGTATTTTCTCTGCTACGCAACTGCATTGCATTTCACTCAATAATCTCAGTCCATGAATAGAGTTCCTCAGCATAACATTAACACCTTGTGAGAGCATGTGCAAGAGAAAAATTCTTATGTAAGCCTTGCTAGATTGGTCTGATTTGCAGTGATTGGGCAAGCATGCCAATGGGCGGGATGCACGAACTTCATTTTGCTGATAATGGCATGGATCCGCACATCAAAACAAGCCACTCCTGGCTTTGGTTTGTGCATTATATGATCCTCCAAAGGCTTCTAAAAGTATATCACTTAGATCTTATTCCCATGTATCGTTTCTGTCTACCCTGATCTTGGGTGCAGTTTTCACTGGACTAGTGCAAGATATAAAAATATCAGCCTTTCTTCATGAGCATCCATTTTTGATAATCCAACTCATTAAATCCCATGAAAAGAAAATTAAACCTTTGTTCTCACTTAGAGCTGTGGGTTATCAGCTCTTTGGATGATTTCTGAAGCAGTTTACTCTGTAGTAAGAGGTCCTTAAGAATCAGCAGCTGATACATCTAGCCCAGCCACCTTTCACTTGGCTACAGAATCCCCTCACGCAGATACTGGAGTTTACAGTCTCAATTTAATTCTCCCCTTATCATTTTTCTGTAGGAAAACAAGGGGAAACAAAACTAAGAAAGAATGGAAGGAACAAAGGACTTGACAATCTGACTCCTACTCTATGCCCTGCCTTCAGACTACTGCCTGACCTTAGGCAAACTGCATCACAGGTTCCCTCAGATATAGTAAAATACAGCATTCTTTCCATACAAACATACAGCTGGAAAGTGTTACTAGGCATTCATCATATTGTTTTTTAAGATATATATTCCAAAAAAACAAAGTATGAAAAAATAAAGGGTTACATAACAAAGAGTAGAAAAACACCAACAAATATTGTCTCAAACCTTCCCTTTCAAGCAACACACAAAAAGCAATGGAGACTACAATGGACAAATCCTCCTCTGACAGCAGGCCGATCAGACAGAGAGCTATTCTCTGAATCGCAGCCTATTTCATGCCATGCAAAATCACTGCGGGAAAAGACTGACAAGCTTCAGACAGCTCATAGTGCTGTACCTTTGCTCATGGCAGCAGTGCCAGCCAATTGCTAGCGTCTTGGTGTCTGGCCAAAGCAGATGGCAGACGACTGTCTGAAGCTGGGACCTGGGAAAATGGGGATAACATCAGGAAAAAAACAAAAACATCTTACATACCTACTACTCCCACCTCATCCCTCTCTGGGGACATGCCTGCTCACTGTGGACTGAGTCAGTGGCTGGTGTTGTGGTCCTTTGGTGCTCTGCATAGTTACTGTATACTTGTAGACCTGGAGCAGTTAGCACATCTCCTATCTCCCATGCATAAGGACTTTCCAGCCAATGCCACAGACCAGCACCTCCCTGGTGGGTCAGAGTCGAGATGAAGCAACAGTACCCACTTGGGAAAGTTTGCTGGCCTGAAAATCTTCCTGAACTTTTTTTGCTCTTAGGTTACCATGACATATCTGCCTGGATCTGGGTTTTGATTCTCCATTCCATAGCTTTATCCCAGGCTGCCTGGGGTAGCACCTTTCCCTCAAAAAGACCTCAACTGAATGCTCCGTTCCCAGGGAGAGGAATGGGGCAGTGGTTGTGTTTCAAGGGTGAGAAGATGGAAAGGATGTTTGAGGTCACTGGCTGCAAAGGGGAGCTGCAGGGCTGGTGATGATGATCAGGAATCATATTATTTCTTCCCTCCCAGCTTCTATCTCCATGCAGATATTTGCAGCTCTCCCCACCCAGCTGTGCCATTTCTCTACCTCGACCTTCCCAGCACTCCCCAGGCAGGTCCTGGCCCTTCACTGTGGTGTGGCAAAATTCAATCTTGCCTACGCAGCTGAGAAACTTTGGCTCTTCATAATAATACCAGCTTGCCTGCAGGGAATAAGGTGGAAGCTGGACCACGTCAAGGCCTTTTATATCCTGCAAAGGTATGTTTGCAAGACACTGGTGGAGAGCACTATGCAGACGAGTGACAGTAGGAGAGGTAGGACAAGCTCCCCCAGCACAGGGAAAATGGGATAGATCAAATAGTTACCCAGATTTCCATCAGCTGTAGAGTTGGCCTGGTGACAGGCAGGATTGCCGTGTTGCACAGATAGCTCACCTCTCTGCCAGCTGTAATAAACATGTCCACTTGATGCCAACAAAACTGGGCTAAATCGACATGTTTTCTTCCCTTCCCTCTTCAGTGGTGTGAACAGCCCCATCTCTGCAAAATAAGCACATGAAGAGAGGATGAATTGCTGAGTGGGAATCCAGTTTGAATTTGTGCTGAGAGCTTTCCAAAGGAGAAAACGTCAATCTCAAAAGGTTTTTCAGGATTCAGACTTTTGTTTTCACCTTTTGCTATGCTCAAACACAAACTGTTAAGTCTGAGAAAAATAATAATAAGAAAAACCTAGTCTTTAAAGTCAATGTTGCCATGCAATGTGCCAAGTTCATGGAGCAGTGGGACAAAAAAGTTAGTTTGAAACCACGACTTGAATAGAAATCTACAGCCCAAAAGTGAATATTGTGGGGTTTCTTTCTCCCTTACTGTGCTAACAAATTCTGGCCAGAAAATTAGAAAGTGAAATGCTCTTAAAAGTAGTAATTATCCACCCCCAAATTAAAGCTAAACTGGGGAACTTCTGAGTTCCTCAGCTGTGCAAGTTTTGTTATGGTGTAGAGATTTTACTACTCTGAGCTTTGGATGTTTTCATTACTAGCAGGCCACAAATGAATTAGGTGGATGATGAAAAAATGACTGTCAATAAAATTTTTACACCGATGCTTCATTCTGTGTGAAACATCTTTTATATGTATGCATATATGTATATACCATAAATAATAGAAATAATTTTATACTAGGGATGTAAACACTGGTCCCAAATGCAGTGGCAAATGAACCACTCATATTTTCTGATTGCATAATTTGCCTAAAGGATGGATACATAATTACACTATAATTAAGTATAATAAACAGAGAAAACGATTTGAGAAGGAAAAATTATCACAGCCTCAACCACATCAGCCAGAAGCTCTCTTCTAATTAAGTTATTTTATTAAACAAAATGTTTTTAAGGTGGGTCCCCTTTGAAAATGTACATTATAGCCCGTGTAATGTAATTTACTTTATAAGTAAAACATGGCTTGTGTATGGACAGATGGTATCTGATAGAATTCATGAAATATGCAGCCACAAGGTCCAGTCCAGCCAGGTGCTGAGTAACCCCACGTCCCTGTTTCAATCCAAGGAACAGACCCTAAGC